AATGTGACGCAAGCGCCAGTAGATGACGCCTACTCTCATAAAAGTGTTGACATATTGTCTGCTACTGCACACCTACGTTAACAACCTCTCATCTCTGTGTTATTAAGGTGCACTATACTTCAGAAGTTAAAAACTCTGATGTGAAAGTTCATTTTGTTTTCCAGAACAAATTAAACTACCCATTTTGTTCTCATTTATCACTGATACACCAACTGGAATGGCTGACAGACACCCAGTCAAGTATGTATTTCACAGTTTAGTAGATGTTTAGTGGTTGTGCCCTCTTGTTCTTGAAGCAATGCTAGAGTCAGATAAGAAAATTAATGCTGTCCCAGTGAACTCACACTATGAGTTTAGACTCTGAGTCTTGCGTATTGATGGACTCTGAGCTGCCGCCCTGTTCCTGCTCAGGATGACGGAAACTACAGTCTTCTTGCTCAACAGCCATTATCCTAGACTCATCTGAGCGGTCTAAAAGAAAGGAATGACAATACTGTAAATTCAGACATTATCAGTTTTATTCTAAGAATGGCATATAAGAAAGACAAAATGGACACACAGGTTTAAATGGTACCTTGGTCAGGGGTATCGGTTTTTGGCTTCTCTGTTTTGTTTTGTGCCTTTACATATGCAACCACTGATGCTATGATACAAAGGACAGCCAACCCTGCCATCCCTGCAGCAATGAAAACTGCAAGCCATTTAGTCGGTTCTAGAAGATACAAAAATATCCTTGAGGTTAGAATTTGATATTCATATTGAAAGATATGCAGTCCAGTTAACTTGAGCAATCTCAAAAAGTCTGCAATGATGCTATGCTCTTTTTTTTGCTAGATATTCTCATTTACCTTTTTTATCTGTCAAAACAGGTAAGGGTTCTTGTTTAGGTTCTGTAACAAAATTTGTAGACAAAAACATTAGATTATGCAGTGTTATGCAAGTTATTAGCATAACTTGGATGGCAGCAGTATGTTGCTTGCCATCCAAGTTATGTTCTTCTCCTGTATTTACTTCTTACCTTCTAAATATGTGCACATACTGTCGCTGGTAACATTTCCTTTGACCAAAGTCTGTCCATCAGGACAACTAGAGAATGAATAAGAAAGTTTGAATGACTTTTACGACAAATGTATTTCTGAGAAATTATATTTGAAAAAAACAGCCAATTGTACTCTACCTTTTTCTCCATTCTTTGCACATACTGTGGATTTTATCATTGAATTTTCCCTCTGGACATTTTCTACAAGATCCTGCAATCATTAAATTACAGAATTTAATTGAAAATAATAAGCAATTATGCAATATATAGCAATATAGCAGGCAATTTGCTATTAAACAGCTTGAGAGCTTATTCATCAGAGAAGGTCAAGAAAAGGGGTTCAATTAAATTCTTACGCTCTTTGGTTGGCTCCTCCCCCTCCTTGCATTCAGTAACACAGAAAGAACATTTGTCGTTTCCACACCGATATTCAGCCTTGCATCCACATACGGTATCGCTGCTGATAGTGCAAGGTTTAAGCGTAAACTGTTTACCTGTAAACATGTAACAGAAAGATTTATGCTTACTCAGTATGATGTTATATACACATTATGTACTCCGTATGAAGCACATATCAAAGCTTATGATGATGCATATAAATAAAATCATTGATCTCATAGCCTTAAATTTTAATTTGCTTAACTAAAATGGCAATGAGGATGTAAAACTGGATCATACCTATGCACTGGGTACATCTCAAACAGTGGAATTTATGACTGGTTATGTAAGTGTCAGGTTCACAGGGGATACAGAGCTTTTCTGGGTCTCTTCCACAACTCTCCACCAAGCGGTTCCCTGTAACCACAAGCAGCTACTTTTAGCATGGCCATTGAAACTCATACACATTTGATTATACAGACGCATGGATGGGTTAAATGCAGAGCACAAATTCCGAGTATGGGTCACCATACTTGGCCACACGTCACTTCATTTTCACTTTCACGACTTCAGCACTGATCACAAAAGGGTGTCCAAAAGTCAGAGGGGGGATTTTTTTCCCCATCTCTTTAAAAACCCAGCAATAAAAAAATGTTTTAGGATTTGGAAAAATATAGAACAAACAAAAGTTCAACCTTTTTATCTGATAATATTAAAATATTGACATTTTAGTTCCACTGTATGTTTAACTGTTTAACGTCATGCAACATAACATCTGCTTATCTGGAATGATAAATCCAAAAACATAGGGACAGTTACTGCTAATAGAGAATGACATCCACTGAGTCTCAATTGTCTTGTGAATATGGCAGAATGTTTGAAACTGGACCTTTCAAGCAAGCTTCAAGGAACTCCTTATTTACAGTAAGATTTCCGGGACAACCCTCTGGGTACTCTAAGGATGATCTATCTAATCATCTTTATGCAATGACAGAACACTTCAAAGATTTCCCTTTGAGTGCTAAACCACATCCTTTTCATGACACTTTCAAAATGATCTGAAACTTCCTTCATTTAGTCACTCATGTGTAATCCGCTGTTTGGCATTTTCGATATTCCAATAAATTATTTTTAAAGTGGTAAATCATGAAATCGTACCTTCATAAAAGTTGAAAATATCTTGTTAGGTACTAGATAATAGTACATTGCTGTCAGTTAATGTCTCTGTACCTGGTTTGCATCTCTTGCAGCAGACATCATTTCCATTAAGAGTCCAGTCATCACAGCCAGTGTCAGCACCTATAGTGCTGTTCAGTACTAAACTGAATATTAGCAAAATCCTTGGAAGTCCTCGGGAAGCAGCCATCATTTGTTCCTGCGCAAGAAATAAACCAATTGAACAACTAAGAAAAATCATTAAGCCATTATTAATTAACCATTTATGTGATATAATACAATATAATCCTCCTGAGAACCAGAAAAAAAAAGTTTTGTGAATTTTGTTTATTTTCATGCCATTAACATTGGTTGGAGCATAAGAAACAAATGGAGAAAAAACATTTTAGAAAAAATATATTTTTATTCATATTTTATTTTATGTCCTTTGTAGAGGACGCCAGGACTAGCCCAAGTTATTCAAAAAAATAAATAGACATGAAAAGGCACGTATAGGCAAAAACAATGTTTTATTTTTTTCACTCACCAATCAACTACTAAACTTCATGGAATATGTGCACAAAATGTCCATAAATGGGTATTCCCATTCTATACAATGTATCTATACATTGCATCTAATTTGCATGTTAATGTGTTCTTGGGGCAAACCATAATGAAAAAATAAGTGTAATAATCGGAGTAATA